ACACAGACACGCAGGCACTCGAGCAGCATCAAGCACTAAAGCATCCAGTGTTTCGAATGTCTTAGGCTATGCACGTGTCCCTGACGAATCCAGGGAAAGGAAACGCTCTATCAGGACTCATTTGCAGGGAGTCAGATGTGCATGTCGAAGTCGCTGGCAGAAAATACGAAAGAAGAGGAAAAGAAGAGGAAAAGAAGTGTGATGTCTTCCTCTTTTTTCTTTCTTTCTTTCCTTCTTTTCTTTTCTCTTTCATTCGCTTTCCTCTCTCTCTCTCTCTCTGTCTCTGTCTCTCTCTCTCTCTCTCGTCCGACCTTAAAGGATTTTATTTATGTATATTGCAGTCACCGACGGAATCTACAAATGAAAGAAAGAGAGTGATGTCTTCCTCTCTCTCTCTCTCTCTCTCTCTCTCTCTCTCTCTCTCTCTCTCTCTCTCTCTCTCTCTCTCTCTCTCTCTCTCTCTCTCTCTCTCTCTCTCTCTCTCTCTCTCTCTCTCTCTCTCTCTCTCTCGTCCGCAGGATTTCATATATGCAAGAAAAAAAAGAGAGTGATGTCTTCCTCTCTCTCCCTCTCCCACTCTCCCTCTCGCCCGAACTAGCGTTATCTTCCCAAAGTTGTTATTACAGTCTCCAATGTATACAGTGTTTAATTACCCCGTCAAGTTATTCACCTTCCATGACCTGTTATTACACCCCGCCGATGAACATTACGATGACTTAATTTTACTTTATTTATCACGAAAGTTTTTTTTTTTTTTTTTTTTTTTTTTTTTTTTTTTTTTTTTTTTTTTGATCGGAGTCAAGGGCGAACTCGGGGTGAAAAAGAGTGTAAACAAATCATTCTACAACCGCGTGCTAATTTTGTTGTAGTTTATGTCCCTTTGTCGTCGAGGTGGACTGACGCACAGGGTACTAGGTCACAATTAGGTCAGTTCTTGGGGTATTTGAGGCGACTTATGGAAGATCGCGGAGATAGAGATAGAACAGCGTTTAGGTCACGACGGCAAAGGCGGCTTAAACAGCTGATTGTAACCTAAACAGCTGATTTTGACCTAAACAGCTGATTTCATCCTAAACAGCTGATTTTGACCTAAACAGCTGATTGTAACCTAAACAGCAGATTTACCAAAACTTTTTTATTTTATTATTTATTCACTCATCCAATCATCTTTTATTCAATTATCCCCTTATTTAAAGGTTTTATTTGCTTATTCATTAATTTATATATCTATTTATTTGTTTAATCATTTAATCATTTGTATTTATTGGTTTATTTATGTATTATTCATTCTTTTATTTATGTTTATTTATTGTCAATTTATCAATTTACTGATTTTCTATTCTTTTATGTAGTATTATTGGAATATTAACATGGTCCAGCATTTCGTCAAACAACCTTGTTATCTCTCCCCCCCTTTTCACTATTCGACCTTTCGGTGGCAGATCCTATCAGAATAAACTTATTGTTGCTAATGACATTCTTTACGTCTCGTTTTCTTCATAATCTTTTAAAAACCTCGTTTTCGTTATTCATAAATCAGTACCGAACAAAGTATTTTTTTTCACAGCCCTTAAAAAAAAAAAAAAAAAAAAAAAAAAGATATTTTCAAAGAAATATCAAATAAATATTTTTATTAAAATATCAAAGAATATATTTTTCCACAGATTTTATTCTAGAAATTTTTATTCATTGTCCATAATAATTCTTCTATATATAACTTAAGACCAACACGTGTTCGCTCTGCATTTTTCTGTCTCATTAGCATACTCATGTGTCTCTGCTTTAACTTACATTAAACGTATAAACTTAAAAGCGACAAAAAGGAAACTCGAATGATCGCAATTATCGGAGAATGTGGATATGTTACATTTTCTCAGCTATGTCATTTGGAAAGATGTTGTTAATATCAAACTGATGGTTATGATAACAATGAAGGTATGATGTTAGCATGAATAGAGGTGACTGGTTAACCTTGTTGAGATTTGGACCCTGGCGCATCCAGCACGCCAACATATTTAAGAGAGAAGCAACATATTAAGGGCGGTTAGGAAATCAGGTCGGTTATATTACGTGGACAGCAACATGATCATGAGGACCCCGGGACGATTACATTCTACGCGGTGACATGTGGCCGGCCGGGCAAAAAGGGCGGGGGGGCGGGGGGGGGGGGGAGGGGGGAGATCTTCATTCAAATTCAACCGGTCGCGGAACCCACCTCATACCCTACCCCCTCTCCTCAACCCACGTCCCCCAACTCCCCCGGTCAGCCCCACGTCCTTCTCCCATCCCACCCCTTCCTCGGGCAAGCCCACGTCCCTTCCCTTCCCCCCCTCCCTCCCGTTCCCCCCTCTTCCCGGGCAACCCACGTCCCCTCCCCTCCCCCTCCTCCGGGCAACCCACGTCCCCCTCCTTCCCCCCCTCCCCCTCCCCGGACAACCCCACGTCTTCCTCCCTCCCTTCCCCCTCCCCCGGGCAACCCCACGTCCTCCTCCTCCTCTCCCCCCTCCCCCGGACAAACCCACGTCCTCCTCCTCCCATCTCCACCCTCCCCGGACAACCCACGTCCCCTCCTTCCCCTCCCCCCCTCCCCGTTCCCTCCCTCGTTCCCTGACGTTTGCTAACTTTCCTTTCGAAAAATGGCGGCCGAGGCGTATCATCCGGATCTTCATTTAGTGAGAATTAAGTCCCGCCGTCTGCCCTCCCTCGCTCGGCCTTGGCTCCGCGCCGCACTTTACGACTGCAATCCCCCCCCGAGACTACAAATAAAGAGCGAACTCGACCGTTGTATCTGATAACGAAGGCCGTCTCCTTTGCGCATCTCGTGTATAACTTTATCAGCGACCAGGGTACTCTTAGCATGTCCTAAATTACTCGACACTATGGCAGGGATTAAGGAAGGCAAATTTCTCCTACTCGGAGGAACCTACGAAGCACAGCTGACTTTACAGCGTGGGGCCAACACGTAAGTATTTATCAGATAAGGGATAAAAGAGGGAGAGAGAAAAAATATTGGTCGTTGGTAGGACGATCCCTAAAGCACAAGCCAAGAGGAACTTCGAGGGATTTCGACAAAAGGGCTTCTCGAGGCAGCCAGGGACAAGGCGCGGCTTAACACGTCCTCGCTTAGGATTCTTGAGGAACCTGGTGGTGAGGTGGGGGGGGGGGAGGTGTTATCAGCTGGAGTTAAGGAGGCGTCGGAGTGTGCGCTGAGAGGAGGTGCCGAGGGCCCCTGTCCTTGGCTCTGCTCGAGATAGTGTCTGACGACTAGGGTCTTGACTGAGCTAAGAGGGACAGAGGAGGAGGAGGAAGAGGAGGGGCTTATGTATGACTTGGGGGGAAGGAGAGTGGGTGAGGGGGGGGGGGGGGTGAACGAAATGATGAAATGGAATGTGGATAATGTGGTGAAAAGGATGATGATAATAATGACACTGCTAAAACTGATATATCATAATGATAATAGCAATAATAATGATTATAATAATACAGTAATGATGAATTAATAATAACAACGATGGACGATAATAATGATACTATTACTACTGCTAAAACTGATAATAACAATAATGATAATAGCAATAATAATATTAATAATAACAATGATAATAATATAATAACACCCACGACCATACCAATAATCATCATAATCACAATATGTAATGATGCTTATTCCAGTGATACCGATAACGATAATGATGAACCTCAGAGGGTTAAACTTGGAACACTCTGAACAACCAATGACTTCCAACAGCTTGTCAGAACTAAACGCAAATGGCAATAACTTCCCATTTGCCAAACAACAATCTGAACTAAAACTCAGAGATGAATTTCCAATAGGGGATCAGATTCTCCATTCCCGTTCCACAGGTCCGTCAGATTCCCCATTCCCGTTCCACAAGTCCGTCAGATTCCCATTCCGCAGAGATCCGTCAGATTCTCCATTCCCGTTCCACAGGTCCGTCAGATTCCCCATTCCCGTTCCACAGATCCGTCAGATTCCCCATTCCCGTTCCACAGGTCCGTCATTCCCGTTCCGACAGATTCCCATTCCCGTTCCAACAGTCCGTCAGATTCCCCCATTCCGCCACAGTTTCCGTTTTCCCAAGTCAGATTCCCATTCCCGTCCACGAGATTCCGTCAGATTCCCATTCCCGTTCCACAGGTCCGTCAGATTCCCCATTCCGTTCCACACATCGTCAGATTCCCCAATTCCCGTTCCAGAGATTCCGTCAGATTCCCATTCCCGTTCACAGATCCGTCAGATTTTCCATTCCGTTCCACAGGTCGTCAGATTCCCCATTCCCGTTCCACAGGTCCGTCAGATTCCCCATTCCCGATCCAGAGATTCCGTCAGATTCCCCATTCCCGTTCCAGGTCAAATTTTCGATTCCCCATTCCCCACATCCGTCAGATTCCCCATTCCCCACAGAGTCCCCAGATTCCCCATTCCCGATTCAGAGATCCGTCAGATTCCCATTCCCGTTTCATCATTCCTATTCCTGTTCACAGGTCCGTCAGATTTCCCATTCCCGTTCCACAGGTCCGTAAGATTCTCCATTCCCGTTCCCACAGGTCCGTCAGATTTCCATTCCCGATCAGATCCGTCAGATTCCCCATTCCCGGTCCACAGATCCGTAGATTCCCCATTCCCCCACAGATCCGTCAGATTCCCCATTCCCGTTCCAACAGATCCGTCCGATCCCCATTCCCGATCACAGTCCGTCAGATTCCCCTTCCGTTCCACAGGTCCGTCAGATTCCCCATTCCCGTTCCAGAGATCCGTCAGATTCCCCATTCCCGTTCCAAGTCCCAGATTCCCATTCCCGTTCCAGATCCAGATTCCCCATTCCATTCCAGAGATTCCGTCAGGTCCCACAGGTCCGTCCAGATTCAGATTCCCATTCCCAGATTCACCCGTCAGGATCCGTCAGATTCTCCATCCGTCAGATTCCTATTCCCGTCAGATTCCCCATTCCCGATCCACCGTTCTCCTGCTGGGTTGA